GCAAATGTTAAAATGGCAACATTTACCTGAAACTGTCTTGTGTATAAATACTGTACAGCCTCACAAAGCTGCTAGCATGGCTATAGACTTTGTCTATTTTATTACACTGACCGGCACATCAACAACATTTTCTAAGAAAAATAATAAACAGAAAGTTCATTAAATGACTTCAGAATTTTTTTTTTTTTTGCAGTGCAACTTCTTTTTGAATACACAGCAGAATATACTACTGTTATGATAAAAGAAAAACTAATAAAATAACTATAAATAAATAAATCTGCTCATCCTGATGAGATGACCAATAAGGTCCAGTCTGTGAAAACAGTCATCAAAAACTCATGCATGATGTATCCTTCTCACCGTGTCAAGCTGCTTTGACGTTTAAAGGGACAGTTAGTGTGTGCCAGGTTTAAAGTCTGCCTGCAAGAATAAATCAGCCTTGAGAGAGGACACATCTTTGCAGAGATGGGAGATTGCCATCTTTTAGAATTAGCACACACAGATGCAGATGCATTCAGTGCTGCATGTTGGTTGCCTGTGTATTTAGCTGCTTGTTTCACTTGCCAGTCTTTGATTCACTACCTCAAATGCCAGCGGCAGCTGTGGGGCTGAATATTTTGATGGCAACAATGATTTTTGACAGGAAAGCTCTGACAACAAACAGCCTGCTGTGCTGTTGATGGCTACAGGCTACAGCTACTTAGGAACATGCAGACACAACAGATGAATAGCAAGAAGCCTAAACTACTGTACAAGTCTATAACCCTAGCTGTATTCAAATGTGCAGGTTAAATGTTTGTGGCAAAAAAAAAAGGTGCTGTGCTCCTTGTCAGCCCCTTTTCTTTGTGATTATTGTAATAGGTTTTCATAAATTAACAACACACTCTACACCTGCACCAACAGTGTAACCTTTTTTATCGTGCAGGCATTTTATTACTCTACTAAATGAAAGTGCAGTACATTTGAATCAGAGAGAAGTTATTTTAACAGCCATTGTCATTTCTCCCCTGAAAACCATTCTTGTTTGTTCATTTACCAGTTGTCATGAGGGCTGACTCAGTGTTTACATTATGCTTCACATTCATGAAGAGAGAGTATTCTACAGTAATGAAACTGTCACTCCTCTGGAGGAGATTTTGCTTAGTGTGACCCTGTACCACCTTCAAAATGTCAACTGAAGACATATCTCCATCTTGACATTTTCAACCAGGGCTTTTCATAATGATGCAGATGTCCGGGGTTGCACACAGAAAACTATAACATCCAATCTACTGGTTCTCCGGGTACTATTACTGTAAGTCGATGATTTTCCTTCATGTGTTTTAGAATGATTACACAGTCAATTACTGCAGCTAGCTCAGAGTAAAGTCTACAGTGAGGCCATGCTATCGTTTCAAACGAAGGAGATTAGTTTGCAGAAATACATCCCAGCAGCACTTAGGGTTACAGTGATAGGGTTATGAATATGGATGAGCCAAGATAATGTGCCCTTCTCCATGCTAAGTGGAGTAGTGGCCTAGTATTCTCATACCCAGTGACTTATGATACACAGAGGTTGGATGGCACAGTGGAAATGACACAATAGCAGCTTTAATGTTTTGTTTAGCTCATCTCCTAGTGACTACAGCCGGCCATTAAGTGCACACAGCATTTCCTCTCCCTCCTACCATGTTCTTATCTCTGTGTCAGTTGCTTTCTTATGTATTCACTGCACTGCTCTAGGTAAATAATAAGTTTGGGTTTCAGTTAAGAAATTACAGGAAAGATTATAAACATTTTGCTCCATTGTGGAGATAAATTTCAGCTCAGTCTACCAATGCTCATGTTAAAAATTGGTGGGTTATTATTCCCATTTATTTCAACCTGATTTCAAGCAAGGCACGTGCATGGTTTTGTGCTCTTAGCACATCCCAGACTCTCCTTCTCTCTCTTTCCTCATCTATCATAAACTGAAATGTTACTATGGAAACTTTGTAGAGAGAACTTTGAAGCTAATTGCTTGATCAGAACAGCATGTGCATGTTATAAATGTAAACCACATCTAAAGTTCATAAAAATTCACAAAACATTGCAGAACAGAACAGAACAGTGTCACTTTTATGTAATGTCTCCATCTGAAACCAGTAACATGTAAAATAATCATACTTGAATGTGATCAGGGCGTCAGTGAAAAGAGAGGTAGCCTCTCACAGAACCTACCCTGTCTGATTTATCTTATCAGAATAGTTACTGAGATGATGGTTTAAGTGGCCGCCACACTCAGTAAATACTCCATCTCATATACAGTAGCATATTTCCTCTTTCTTGTTCATATTGTGTATAAAACTACACAGTACCTTTTGGCTGAGATGCTATATGACAAAAGGGATTTCAGAAAAGGTTAAATATGGTAAGTGATAGAGACATTAGAAGTAAAAGGAGATTAACAAGATTAAATATTACTGCAAAGCTAGAGGTTGTGCATGTGTGGTAACAGATGGTCGCTGGCAGATGACGCAAATTTCACACATCTACATGTCGGTGCAAACAAATAAAAAAGGAGAAAAAGAACACAGGCCTGTATTCTGCAAGAGAAAATAGATATAATTGTCATCTTGATTAAATTCATCATCAGGTGTGTTTACAAATGTGTTCACAGTACACAGATACAGCAAGTCTCTCACTGCCAATGTAGCTGACAGCTTCACATACACTGACACCCACCCGCAAGCATCACATCACAGATTTTTTTTTACCCATAGATACAGTACATGTCTGTCATAGAATATGTAACACCTGCTAAAATATGTGACTCATGGCACAGTCATCCTTTGCACAGACTGTGATATTGATACACAGACACCGCTTCTATTGTAAATACACCAGTGCTGGAGAGAAAGGAATCAGTGTACATAGTCAAAAACAATCATGGTGCACATCGAAAATGCCAAATGACTTTGTTTTTGTGTTTGTCTTTTGGTGCTACTGACATGTTAGACGTCATGTAAAAATCCAACAGTCTGTGGTTCTGCATCGTGGCCTTGGCTGTTTTATGACTCCACTGACAAACATAGGTTTCTCTGAGGAGACGGTGTTTGTGGTGACTGTGGTTGTTCTCATGAAAAGAGTTATCAAACTCCCTCTTCGTGAGTGCGCTCACTGACCATCTTCCATATGTTGGATTTTGGTCCATAATCAGTAGCTCCTCAGCTCAGGATAAGTTTATTTTCACGAATGGTTATCCATTCAAAACATGACTCACCAAAAGACAGTGCCATTTCAGTGCCACCATATTTGTGTTTTTCAACAGTACAATCCATAAATCCCCTTTGTCTGCAGCTCAGTGCCGATAAACTCTGAGGCCGCAAAACTCCTTTATTTCTTAATATGCAAACTTCACCTGCAGCTACTCCTTATTTACACAAATCTTTTTTTTGTGTAAAAACCCCTTATTTATCCAAATGTCTGCAGAAAAAAAAAAACTATTTCTGATCAGGCTGTTCACTCAATTCACCATGAAACATGTGAACGTGTTTACAGGTCTTAAACCAACAAGAACGAACAGGGGGCAGCTCAACACCGAGTGTGCTGTGTTTTTCAGACCTCTGCCCAACTCACAGAGGACTGTTGCTCAGTGCCAGCACAGGAAAGTGTCCTCTCTTTGCTCATCCTTTGGTGCTACTTACCGTGGTTGAAACTCACTTTACAGACTCTGAAGACACTACAGATAGGGGGTGTTACTGTATGTAGTGGTGACTGATCTCATTTTTTGGAATCAAAAGGTCTGACTTGCTTTATTAATAACTTAAATAAGCAAGTTAAAAGTGAGTGGGCATTATGAAGCAAAGCATCAGTATTGCCAAATATGTCCAAGCAATAGGTTTTAAAAAGGCAAATGAATGCAACATTTTACATTTTGCATGCATCGAATTACATCCCAGTTGTATTGTTCATTGGCTGCTACGTGAACTGGGAGTCATTTTTTTCCCCTGTGGCCATCGCAACAACAATAAATAATAATAATAAATAAAAGGTTATCTACATGTCACCCATCTCCACATGCAGTAGAATACCATTTCTGTCACCTCTGGACTGTGTCTGACATCAGTATTCATGGGAATGTTTTCAACAGTAGATGAATCACAAAGTTGGCCTTTCTTCAGAACAGGGGTTTCAAAGTCTTTGTTCTGCTTTTCTCCACTGCTTCTTTATTGTAACCAAGCCACATCTCCAGGTTTTGATTGTATAGAATATATGAAAAGATGGGTTTCAAAGTGACATATCCAGCATCTGAAAAAAACAGTGACACCAATCTACCACATCTATAGACAACACAAGATTTGGAACCAAAGATACTTTTTAAAGTTATGGAATTTCATCTGTAATGGCTGAGGTCATTGGGAGTTTCCTTGTCCTTGGATTTGAAAGTTTGGGCCTGAGTAGATCTCAAGTGGTCTGAAAGTGAACCGTAACATGCGCCGCCAACCTCGTCATTGTATAAGAAACAAAAAAAAAACTGTTCAGACTGGGATCACTGTCAGAACACTCGGAGCACGGCTAGTTATTATTACTGCTGCTCTGTGACGATCATTGTACTGTTTATTACCACTACGGGCAACGAACGCACTGACATCAATTCATTTTTAGGATTGTGGTTCACACAGGAGTTATATGGCAATATGCGGCCTCAGTTCTTCTGACGGCGGTGCGTGTTGAGAACTCATATCAAACACTTAGGTTCTTAATAAATCTCAGATATATTTTTCGAGCAAAGATAGAAATAAACACACACAGTGACCCACATGTGTACTGCAAACACGTGGGTCAGATGCGTGCGCACACACACACACACACACACACACACACACACAGAAGTTACTCTGCGCTATTTTCTTAAAACTTTTCTGTCTTTGAGACGAGTCCTTTTTCTGAAGTTGTTTATTCCAATAATCTCTGTCTCCATCTCTTTCCAGAGTGGCCTGCCATGGTGGCTTACTGCTGGTGTTGCTTCAGGCTGAAAACAAACCACAGGGAAGAATGTGTTAGTCTCGTTTTGCTCCTGACACGGGCAGATCCAACAAGACAGGCCTCTTTAACCACAGGGAACATGAAGTCTGCTGGGGAGAAAGATACTCAGTTGCTGTCACGCTCAGTCTCATTTACCAATAAATCCATGTCTGATGCCATTCTTAATATAGTGTACTTAGCAAAATAAGCAAAGTCTTTGTAGATATAGTAACATAATGGGACAAATGTGCAGAGATGTAATGCCACATCACTGGGTTTCCTTTCAATAGGAACGACTGCTTTACTCTACTGTATGTGAAGCATCAGCCAGTGATTGTGTCACACTCTTTAAGCTGTCTGCTTTGATTTCTATCTAGCTGTTCCCCAAATTAAAACAAAGGAGGAAGATAAAGGCATAATCTCTCACATTTTAGGGTGCAATAGTTACTTTTCTGTGCTTTATCTAGAGCCTCTGATTGTTGTCATGATGACAATACATGTTTTATGCCAGATACCCTTCCTGATGCAACCCTGACTCGAACCCGGGCTGCATCGGTGAAAGCGCCGCGTCCTAACCACTAGTCTAACCCAGGAGATCTTTGCAAAGTATGTTTGGAAATAAAAAATTCTAATTAGCATTCAGAGCTGGTCTCATTATTCACTTGCCTGAATGTCACAACAGTAATCCCCACAACAATGCACAAGTAATACAGTACTTCATTCATCTCTGCAGCTTTTTGCATAATTGTTCCTCCTGTTAGTTTGAGGTGCTTTTTACCTTTGTTCCTTGCTGGAGTTTTGAAGTGCTTTCTCCTCAGTGTAAGAATACCATTGTCTGATTTAGCCTTTTTTCAGAGAGAAACTAAATCAGACACACATAAACTAAGACTAAGATGATTAATTCGCACATGTGGCCATCGGTCTGACTCTGGAGTGAAAACACATCCCCCAAACAGCAGAACAGATTTCATCGTTTTCACGAAGTCCTTGTTAAAATGCCACTTCTCCACTGTCCTAAATAGCGCATTGAGACAGTGAGAGAAAGAAGGAGGAATGCACAGGCCCCCTAGCTGTCAGCACCTATGCCAATAATGGCTGTTAAAACAGTGGCCTCTACACCCCATCTGCTTTGCCAGGACTCGTCTAACACTTTGAACTCTCTGAGGAGAGGGAGGGTATAGAGATGGTAGTCTGTATTGTTATCTTGAGAGGGAGGGGGCAGGTTGCAGTGAGGAGTGAGGGAAGAACAACAAGAGGAGGGGATTAGCGTGTAAACAGTGTGGGGCAGACAGAGGGGCCAATAAGAGAGATGTACTTGGGAAGTGTTTGTGAGGATATGAAGGTCACCTTGGCACCGTGAGTGTGTCTGAACGTAGCTTCGCAGTAGCTGTTGCTAAGGTAGCAGAGCTTTGAGTCATGATCTGGGCATGACAACACCCCCCCCCCCTTCTTTGGGAAGGCATGAGGGAAGACAGAGACAATTGCCTTGTGTGTGTCTGACAATACGAAGCATGTGAGAGGCGAGTTAACCAGTGACAGCCCTAAATTAGCCTCTCACCTTGCCTCAAGCAGGGAGAGGATGCACACACATGTAGCAAGCCTATTAGGCCAATAGCTCAACCATTTGCATTTTGAGATTTTGCACTAAGCACTGCAATCTCTCACATGTGTTCCCACCCTCTCTCTCTCTCTGTGTGTGCCTTTGCCTCTTAAATGTGCATTAGATTGTATTGTAGTTTGTGTGTATGTGTCCTCTGGATAATTACCTGGGTGAGCAGGCTAAATGGATTGTCCCTGACCTCACCATCATACCCTTGGGGCCTCAGCATCGGCATCAAAATCACACACTCATACACAATCACACACACTATGCAAATAAAAACAATAAGCAAAGGCTATGTTATCCCAGTTAAAGCCACACAATGTTGCTGGTCAGAGATCCAACCATGCTGACAGTTTCTATCAAGGAAACCGTGCATTACTGGTTGCTTTGTTTTCTTTCTTTCAAGTTTAATTCAGTTTTATAATGCATGTGCTGTATTGCTGGACAAAACAATATACATTAGCTAGTAACTGTTGCATAAAAGCCATCATATCCTTTGTGGTTCGGGCCAGTGGACTATTAAAAATAACACGACTAGACAGGAAGGGATCTATATAATAATAAAACTACATGCAAATAAGCTGGCACTATTGGCAGACATAACACACACGCAAATACTGTGGATATAGGCCCACACACAGTTTTCAGGGATGTTTCTTCAGTGAGAGCGCAATCCCCTGCTGCTGTCAGCCCTGCTTTCATCTCTTCTGGAAAGCTCCTTACACAAGACAAAGCTCAGCTAGGACACACACACATCCCACAAAAAATTACATATACAGACATACTGTATACACACACACACACTCACGTAGAGTTAGGGTGGAAGATCTCACATTACGTTGACAAAGCCGTGTCCACCTTATTAACAACCCAGTGATAGGCACCGAACAATGTCAATAGCATCGTTTCCATAAGTACTCACACACATTTCTACATTTACACACATGCATGCACATAAACACATGGCTATACACATATAAGACATTTGTGCAGCACAACTGTCCATGGTTATACAGCTTGTTCTTAAAAGTAGACTTGGTTATAATGTATTTACTGTGCACACATGTCAGGGGCTGCACCAACACTAAAGCACACATATGAACAAACATGCAGCCTTCATTCATAGTCCCTTATGCCATTTTAGTTGTAAATGTCTTAGACGTTAGCTAGTCCCATATTTAAGTTACAGCCAGTGTTCATACACGTGAATATGTGCCTCAGTGTGTTTACACTCCAGCTTCAGCAGAAAACATGACACTTTGCAATACAGTGTGACAAGGACATTATTTGATAACTCTGTGTTGCAAAAACTGACATGTAACGCGCACTGACATAGAAATGGGTTGGGTATGTGTATGTGAGTAAGATACAGTAGATGGAGGAAAGACAGTGGCGTCTAACACACATTTATGGATCCGTATTGTGTTTCACCTGAGTGACTGGGTGAATGTAGGAAGTGAAGTTGATGAGGTGGAACCTTTGGTCTTGTTCAGTGTTTCCCAGAGGATCGATAGAACAGTGCAACAAAGCAGGAAAGACTTATTTCCAGTACTGGTGTTCAATCTCACAGATTTGCTTGCATTTGCAATACGTCTGTGAGGACTCGGGGGTTTTGCACTGTAAAATCACTTATGGACTCTCATGGACTTTTCCACACTTTTTGCACACTGCAAGTCTGAAATCCTACAAATGCTGACCAAGGGAATTACACACATTCTAGATAAAGGAAAAAAAGAAAGAATGGCCATTTCCAAAAACAGTTCAGTAAGAAAGAGATATACTAGACTGTAAGGGTTTGGACATGTTTTTAGATTCTGTTCAGTTTGAAATAAGACATTTTTATGCTACAGTACAATAAAAAACAGAACTTTATCTTAAATTTGCAAAGGTTTACATCAGTGTAGAAAGACCTGTGTGGGAAATATGGCCCCTTTAACACACAGTGCCCAAAGTGTAGAGGTTCAAAAGTAATTGGACAAATATAGTCACAAATAATATTTTGTGAAAAATCCTTTTGCAATAACAGCCTAAAATTCTCAACCCATAGACACTATAAACTTTCCTAAAGATTTTTTTCTTCACTGTCATCTTCACTTAACTTGCTCCATGGCCTACCAGGCCTTTGCTTGGCCATGAAAACCTACACTACCCCTAACATTTGGAATCACACTTGGAAGTTATTTAAAAATAGATATTGCAGTAATGGCAAATTTCTTCAAGATGTCGCTCAGTAAGTTCTGAAGATATGTCATATCTGTTGACACCCTTAATCAGCACAGTTTTAGGAAAAAAAAGCAAGTTAGTAAAAATATTACCTTCTTTGCGGAGGTAACGGGTAACAATACGAACATCTGGATGGAAATTGGACTTTGGAATAAAAGAATACCTTGTGCAATAATGTGCAGCACATCAGAAGACATTTTATTATGAACTACTGGACTGGAAACTTAAGAAATGTTAGATGTGTAGGGACAAAAATGACTGTGTAAACTAGAACCTTAGAAATTTGTCCTCTTGAGAAAAGTTTGTGACACTTCAGTGTTTAGTTCTTTTTTTTTTCTCAAACCATTTGCTGTAAATGTGTATGATAAGATGGATGAGGGATGCTCTCTCCTTCTATCTGGCGACCTTTCATTACTACCCCTGTAAATCTCCTCGGTACCTCAGTCTGCCTCTCACTGCCCTCTGTCTGTCAATTCCCTGTCAATCCATCCTCCCCGTCCTGAAGCCCTGCAGATGTCAGTCTGGGTTCACCTACATTTTCTCTCCGTTTCAGTTTTGCTGCTTTCTGTCGGCAATGCGTCCTAGTTCTTTCTACATTACTACATTTTGCTATGTCTGTCTGCTGCCCTTTATCAGTTTTATTTCAGTCTTACAGTATGTCATTGCCCTTTTTATGTCTTCAGCCTCTGTCTCAAACATAATGTGTCTTCCTGCACCTCTCCTTCCATCCGTCTCTTGGTGTTTGTTGTATTCCGCCTTAGAGGTCTTCATGGGTCCACTCGGGTCTGAGGATCCGAAACCTGACCCAAACTTTGTTCATTCTGGTCTGGTCGGGTCGCGTTTTACTGTCTGTGTGCCACTATGTTCAAGACACGAGTGGATCCACTTCACATCTCCTGAAGCCTGTCAGGTTGTGCAAGAAAAACACCTCAACTCAAACAGCAGTGGCAACTTTTGTAAAAATTGAAGTTATCCATTTTATTAAACTGGTAAAACCATTTTGCCTTTTTATTGCCTATCAAATTACAACATGTTTTATTTTTTGCAGGAGTTGGAAATTTAACTTTGCATTTATATTATATTATATTACATTATATTATTTTGCTGCACTTTTCCATTGCCCCTGATTGTTGATTGATCTAATTAAGCATCAGTGTGACTTTTGATTGCGTCTGTTTGGGTGGACCGCCTTTTGGATTGGGTCCAATTATCTTTAGGTATATTTGAGTCAGATCCAGCAGAGCTGGGGTCCTCTTCAGGTTGGGTCTCTATTTTTTGAAAATTAATTTATGCAAAGTGGGTTCGGGTCGGCTCTCCATAGCCTGTTTTCGGATGTTTTTGGAATCGTAAAGACCTCTACATTGCCTCTCTTTTGTCTATCTGTAATCCTTACTCTTTTTCTCTCACATAAACATGACTCTTTCAGTGTGCCTGCCTCCTTTTTTCTGCTTTGTGACAGTAAAACAGACAGCAGAGAGCTATAAGCCACCATTGTTCCATGATTTACAGTCTCTTTGCAGAGATATTATACTGTACATCTCAATAAGGAGTCTGGCTGATGCCCTCATCCAAGCTGACATAGAGAGAGTGTTCAGACTGACTGTTGGGTTTAAGCTTAAACATTCTGTTTAACAATCCAACCACATTTTTACTTCTGTGCCTCAGTCATTTACATACATTTAGATTAGTTCCTTGATGTTAACTTATTTATTAAGAACGGTCTTTAAGCAAGATATGTGTCTGTCTTGTCTGGTTTTTATATTTGTGCAGTGTGTTTGGGGGTACAGAGTCAATGTACTGTATGATCAGGCAGGAGAAGAAGACAATTACCACTTCAGTAGTGTCTATATACAGTATGGAGAGCACACACTGTGCACTATGATTCTCATAACAAATTAGGTAGGGCTGTTTCTTCTACTCTTTGTAATGATGAGTGGATATCAACATTTTGAATTTAAGCTTGTCTAGAAGAAAACCTATCCTATTATTTACTTTTGTCTCCTCTTCCTTCACCATTTGCCTTTCTTGTTCTTGTTATCACTGTTGTTTTTCTCACTACACCCACCACTTTCTGTTTAAGAGTTAGTTGCTTGTTGAAATTTGGTTTGTGTAGTTCAAGTTATTCTCTGTGGTGGATAAACATGAATATTTCAGCTAAAATGCCTCGACTCCTAAAAATAAGACAAAAGGAAAAGAAAGCAAATATGCACAACAACAAAATTACATCCTCGAGCACCTTTTTTACTCTATTCCCTTTGTAACACACTTAATTTCAATCGTATTCCTTCAAATACAAAGACACACATACATGCACATATGCACACAGATACACTGCCTGTAACAGCTCACAGTAATCTCATGGTTAATGCATCACTGGCTCTGATCACATCTTCTAACTTCTAATAAAATGACCAAACCTCCTTGTGCCATTGTCATGCTTCATAATACATTTCCATTATGGTTCCCCAGCCTGCTCTGCACCTCTTTACAAGTCTTACTGTATAAATGTATTAAAGATGAATTTCATAATTTCATTTCACTTTTTTAGTCACTGAAGCTTTGCTTCCATGTTTCCCCCCCATGTGAATGCACACTATGTATCACCTCTATAATGCAGGGCAAGAAAAGGACTGTGCTTCAGTTCAAAAGTGCTTCTACTGTATGTGGCTGTCATACTGTACCTTCTGTTTAAGGCAGTCATAGCATCTTTTTGGCTACATCAGGCTGCCTCCCTCGGTTCTCTCACAGAGAGTGCTTCGGTCTTGTGTTGTCTTTATAGTCTCAGTGCAATGAATTGTACTAATGGGGATAAGGGTGCAGACTTTTGGACAGTCATTCCTCAAAGGTATTTATGGTGTCGCATTATGTATTCATTAAACGTTGATGTAGTCAAGTGAAAAATAAAAGAGAAGCTCAAACCCTCCTTACTTTCACATCACCACACACCTGGCCAGTTGCTGCATGAAGTGGCCACGATTGTCGTTCTGTGTGCTTTGGAAAGTTTTACATTATCTCTCTTTTAGGTTTTGATTGACTGCTCATCCATCCACCCGTCCAAAATGCTAACTTTTTGTACTCACTTGTTCTGGTGCTTGGAGCCCTGGACGTGTGCATGATACTGCTCGATGGAGTTGAGGACCACACTGCAGACACTGCAGGAGTAACTACTGCGCAGCCCTGGAAAGACACAAACACGGTTACACTGAGGGCACAGCAAGGTTCATTAGAATCCTTCAGTTCTGGCAACCTCATCATCTGGATCATCAGCAACAGCACCGAGGCCAACAATAAAAAATTTGAACTGACACCAAGTAACAGCCTTATTTTTACACTCTGCAGTGCAGGGTAATTTTCATAATTAGAGTGCATTTGGATTTGATTAGACTAATCATTAGCAGAAAGCCAGTTACATTTTCAGATCCTTAGATCACTGACGTCTTCTCTCTAGTGCCCATGGGTGTATGTGTGTGAAGGTGTCTTTTGAATCCTGAACTTCAGCAGGGTGAGAAAAACTAGGTCACTGGGATTAGGAAAAGAACACTTGAGTAGGTTGTGCAGCACCGTCTCACACTGTGTATAGCTGTGTGTGCGCATGCACATTGGTATTGTATCGGTGAATGCGTGCTTAAGATGGTGCGACTCAGACACAGATGCGAACTAATTAGAGGGTTTGCAGGTGGTCGAGATGAACACCCAAAAATAGATGGATGATGATAGAGATACTGAAAGTGGTTCGGAGAGAAACTGGGGGTCAGACAGAGGGCTAGGCAGACAAAACAAGCGACAAGAGGAAATTTACAAAGCTTAATAATATGTTTATAAAAAGATGAAAGAAAGGTAATGGAAATACAGTAAGGATAATGAGTTGTCACACTGCAGAAGTGTTGTATGACAGAATGATAGAACAAGCATAACCCCTGATTATTATTATTAATAAAGATGAATGTGTAACTGGTTGTGTGTGATTGAAATCTTGAATGCTTGCCTGCGTGTGGTTGCCCTTTTCTCTGCTGTCATTGCTGTCCTTGAGATTTATGATTTGTCTGTCTATTTCAACACCTTTTGACCTTCTGTAGCTGTGAAGTATGTTGGGAGATGAAGTTGTAATGTAGTTATGAGTGGTGGGAGGTTATGTAGACTGGGCTACAGCTGCATAATATGGCATATCTACTCCCTGTTGTTTCAGAGTCGCTGTCTCCGTTTTATGGCTGATTAAGGACAAGCAGTCATTTAAATGAAAGCCACAAGTGAATTAGTTGCCTGGGGTAAGTGCTGTCTTGGCTTAAATATTGATATTTTGCATCTATTAGGAGCTGATAACTAAGTCTGCATGTGCGAAAGAGAAACAGGACAGATAGTACATCCTCTTCTGTCCAAATGTCATTACTTCTATTCTGTCCAAGTAAAAAGGCTATTAACTGGAAAAGAGATAATTTGGAAAATAAAGCGATAAGTCATTCTCCTTCCTTTTCACTTCCCAGTAATTTTATACTGCCGCAAGGATTCCACAAAGAAGTCTATTCTTGTATACAAGATTAAGTTTTATGTGTCTGTGTGTATGCGTGCACAGACAAAGGCAGCGCTGCTTTTAGCCTGACTGATGTCACATCTTCACTGCCTGGCCAAGTAGTGCTGATGTACAATATGGTGAGGTTTGTGTCTCTGCCATGTGTGTGCATGCCACTCTTTGAACACACGCACACAAATATGGCTGCATGCACTGTGTTTTGGTTAATAAAGCAGTTCTGGCATATGTCCATGCAGTGCCCTAATCCATGTTAATTACATGCAGGGAAAGTGTGTGTGCGGTGCGAGTGACAGCACGCGGCCAGCGATAGTGAATGTGGGTTTTTGTGGGCATGTGCAGTATTTGTGATGGTGTTCTAAGCCTTGTTAGTTATACAAGAAGACGGGAGACAAAGAGGAAAAAGGGGGTGAGATGAGCTAAGGCAATGGGTGTGGAGCTTTTTAGTGGAATTAATCTACAGAGCCTTCTGGCATTGCTGTCACCTCTACTTACAGACACCTTAATTCTTGTCAAAAAGGTAACGAGCTGCATTAATGAGCTACACAGAGAATTGTGAAGATTATGTTTTCAGGAGCCTTGTTGTAAATGTACAGTAGTATCTTCTTGAAGTTTGATACAGTATATTTTAACTCAGCAGCAGCAGCAGCAGTAGTTTGGACCCATTTGGAGCATGATGTGCAGTTCATAGTTTGCTCCATTAGGACACTCTGCCAAGCACTAACTGCAGCTCCTTTGATTAGATTCTCTTGTGGGTTTTCAGAAAGTGGCCAGTGCAGCCCAGTGTGAAATCTAGTGTGGCAGGAGCACTGTTGGATAAATAGTGGGATGTTTTAAAGATGCAGAAGGAAAATGAGCCTTACACACACTGTACAACCATCACTGTTCCATATGAATAATTTTAAGGTATTTATTCATTTATTATTATTTCCTATAGGACCAGCTACAACTTAGAATCTCACTGTACAATAATTTTATTTACCGCGGAGGCAGGAAAATAGTTTATGAAGCTCTTACTGCTTGTGTTGTGGTACACCATTAGTTTACCGTGCGCTTTGTAAGATTAAAAGGGAACTGGATCCAAAAAACAAGCCCAATGTGATGCAATCAAAACCAGCAATCTGCTGCAAAGGCTTGACAGTATGTCTCACAGGACTATATCACAAATACCACAGCAGAGGGGGGGAGTGAGCTTTGGGTGAGAGTCAGATTTAATCCAAATGGAATTTTACCAAGCATCGATCTTTGGATGACTTATAGAGAGACTAATTAGTTCTGTAGTGAATGCAACAGTAATTGGAAAGCCCATCTGTTTTAGACACAAAAAAGTATCATACACTGGAAACAAACTTTTTCTGAACTATTGATTTGAAATAAAATGACCAGATTATTTCAGATTCGTTTTGGTTGTCCCAATTAATAATTCTGAGAGATGGTTTATAATATTCAGGCTGGATATTGTTTGAACTTACTAGTTCCGCGCCCGCCCCCCCCCCCGTGACCCCGTTCAGGGACAAGCGGTAGAAAATGAATGAATGAATGAGTTCCAATTTAATAGAACAGTATTAATATTAAAACCTTTTGATACCCACGTTTGGAAAATATAAGTATTTTTTTTGCTGAAAACAATTTCCTTCTACTGGTGGAAATACGCAACTGAAGCAGAAGTCTAAAGTTACAAAACAGTAAGGTGAAAGGTGCTAAAATGCTGTGTAGGTCTCAGAGGAACTGCAGAGTGATAATTGTCTGTAGGTTCAGAAGACGTCAGACCTTATACATTACAATGATTTGAACCGTTGTTAACATAAAAGTATTGATTAGTACAGCTTTAAATAGAACCTGTCCATAGTGAGGAAGGCTCGTTTCCATTTAAATCTGGAAATATTTGAACAAAGAACAGATAAATAATTCTGAAACTTAGATGCCAATCTTCATTCAGTTCTTGACACTTGATGTAGCATACACATTTACATCGATACACAAAAAGTTTTGAGTTTCAATAGCCGCACCTACAGCAGCTCACATGTGGGTGGCAGGTATGCATGTGCATCTAAAGTGCAGTATATCTTTATGTGTGCGTGCATGTATGCAAGCTTGTTTGTGCAGCTTCGTCACAGTGAGTGCTGTCTCATGGGAGAGGGGGTCAGTTCTGTCTCCCAGCTCAGGCACAGTCATCAATTATACACTTTTCCCTGCTTTGGTACTTCTTCTTCCCTCACACCAACAGGCTCACTCACTTCAGTTCTCTACACTTATCTCACTGCTTCTAATTCTCTACTGAATTTCCACGGAGAAGATACGATGCGCCAGCTATGTCTTGAGGGATCTCTACCCCGTTGTGATTTATGTAAAGACAAAGCCGAGTCAGCGAGGCTCCATTGCTCGTCAGTAGCCCCCACCACCTCCTTAATCCATCTCCAAGGGTTTTGTCTGGCACCTAGCATTGGAAAATAACGACATTCTCTCCGGTGCATTGTCTGCACAATTACACAAGGAAAAATCTAAGAATAAGAGATGGTAGTGATATGAATGTCATGGGGACTTTTTTGATATGTTTCATCATAAGTGTGAAAGACAAGGGCAGGAGGGAGTGAGAAAGACAAAGAGAACACAGGTACGTAAAGGTCGGTATCGTCAATGGAACACAACCAGAAGATACAGCAAGGTAGAATGTGTCAGCATAGTTTGGAGATAGAGAGGGGATGTTGGGGTGTAAATAATTTACCTCGTGCCTCATGGGGAGCTAATGAGGCTGATTGATGAGACATGAGAGAGTGAAGCCCCAGTGGTGTACACATGCAATGTAACACTAGGAAAAAGGTGGGAAAAGATTAAAAAAGAAGAAGAAAACTGCTCCACAAAGAAAAAAGGAGGACAAAAAGATAGAGATGAATCTGCACTTAGCTGAGATCGAATTTTTCACCCCCCCACCGTGTCTCTCAGCTCAGCAGCCGCCTCGTGTTCGACCCTCTCTTTACACCTCGAACACCTGTGACTTTATAACTGAAGACGTGAAAGTCAAGCACCAAAGGAAATATGCTGAACTGATGAACTACAGACAGCAAAGCTGTACCATGATGAACGAAGTGTTTCAGACTGGGCTGATGGCATATACAACCTCAGCAGTGCACTCATTTTGAAATCTTACATCAGTTCAGTGTCTCTGAAGAGAAAACGAACAATAGATCCTACAACAGAGCGCTGCTCTTCACTGAGTACAATTAGCTTAGATTAGCCAAAAGAAAAACCTGACATTGATCTACTTTATATTTTCAATATTCAGTGTGTTCTGTAGTTACATGCTGAAATTATATTTGAATTCTCACAAAAAACAGCTGAGGTTGTGGGATCTTGGTCACAGTGTGTAGATGAAGAACGATATTCAACATGACACCACTTAAAGCCTCTGAGCCAGTGTAGGCGGCAACATGACTCATGCTTTTAATACGATTGGCTTCTTGAGATGATGGGTTGTGTCATAGCACCTGGGGTACACAGCGAATGGCACGGCTTCGGCTCACGGAGGATTTGCATGTGTGCTGTGCGTGATATAGAACTTCGTCAAACTTGAATGTGTGTGCATTAGAGGTGTTGTGTGGCACTCGTGTGCATGTTGGCCGCTAGGATGCCGTTAAATTACCATTCAGAAGACTCAGAAAAGGAAGAGCTCCTTCTGTGCCAAATGCTATTAATGATTTCATTAGAGTATCCTTCTGGCAGAAATGTGCATATGAGCATGTGAGTTGGTGTCCTCTTCTGCTACATTTGGATGTGGAAGTGTTTGCGTGGGAGGGGGGGGAGAGGTATAAAGGGGGAGAGAAAGACACAGAACAACAATTAAAGCCCATGGTAACTGTAATTTGGTCTCAGTTTTACCAGTTAATGATGTAGTGTAAGAAATCATTTGAGTGTAATTGCTTACCTAAGTTTCTGACTGAGCTTTGACTCTCAGCATAAATATTAGCGGTAATGTGTTTTTATTTGGCTGCCTGGGCTTCTGTAGTGTGTTTTATTTTAAGTATGGCCCAAGTAGCATGCAAGTATCACAATGCTAGCTCTAACAAGTGTGAATGCTGTGCTGTAATATGAGGAGGCTGTGAACCAGACAGCTGATGTAGAAAGGTTAGACTGTGGGAAAAAGATGATGAATAAGATGGGGTCAAAGTTTCCCTTGGGCTGAGCTACACAGTTAATAGGAAGAGACAAGTATTTGCTTAGTACAATGGATGGATGGATTCAGCCGTTAAGATTATTTACCCAGTAAACACCTTTCAAAAGGTGCTCCAGTGATTCACATTGCTGGGAACTTATTAAGAAAGCAATGGTCAGAGTTGATCCAGCAGATGATACACCTCCTGACACATCCTGACATAGTGTCTCCAGTGAGGGTCAAGCTTTGAAAATGCTCACTCCTACAGTTACATACATACATATTTTTGTTGGACTCGCACTACCCAGTAATTGCCTCTATATATAAAACTCTATGTCCCAGTTTGTAATGTTGGCTTTCTTTTAAAAAAAACTGTAGCCTTCTTAACCTAAGCCAAGATATGATATGACAGAAATAACATATAGAAATAGTGGAGTGGAAAGTTTATATATTATCATGGCCCTCCTAAAAACGTCTTAACTCCGCATCTAGATTCAAATGAATTTTTGAAAAGGGTATTCCAAACATTTGTGGGACAATTTTTCACCACTGTATACAAGAGATTTATTAGAAACACTGTCGAGTTAAAGGAGAATGAGAGGTTCATACAGATGTTTTTGTCCAAATGTATGGTAAAGGTAAATAAGCCGATCTTAACTGGTTGATGGTGTTGATTTTATCTGTGAATAACTGGTGTGTTTTACCTCAGTAGAATATCTGTAAAAATGTACACTACATTGAAAGGCATATGAACACAGATGTGCACCCTCACTGCCTCAGATTTTGAATGTGATTTGTACCCCCCCAATTGCTTGGCACTTGTTCTGCTCGGGGCCAGGAGGCTGACCTGTGCTCTCTGTGGCATCCAGACTGCCCGCTAGCTGCTCCAGGAGGCGTGCTCTGGCTGCGTTCCTGCGATGTTTCTTGCCCTCATAGTGTTGCTGGGCCATCAACGGGTTGTTGAACCATGCTCCACACAGGCAGCAGTACTTCCCGGCCTCTCTTCCGCCGTTTCCGCCGACCACCACCATGGCCCAGGGCAGGGAAGTGGGAGGAGGGGGGCATGGAGTAGCATCTGTGGGGAGTGGAGTGGAAGGGGCGGAATCTAGGGGAAGGAAGTGAACAGATAGGAGACAAGGAGTGAGGGGTGATTACAGGAGGATGTAAGGAAAAGAGTGAGGGAGCAGATTAACATTAGTTCTTATGCAACTGTAGTTCTAAGGTGAAACTATTTTCATTAAATTAACATCAAGTGATGCGTTCACACTCACACAAGTGCACACGCAGGGGTGAACTCTGAAATGCATACTTTTACACATGCACACGCACACATTTAAAAGCTCCAAGTGTAGATTGCACTGACTGGGACTGAGAGCAAAGAGCAATAAACTGCTGTAGGCAACAACTGTGGAATATACTGTACAGATGAAGGTTGGATGGAGGTCATCTGTACCCCAGGGACCAGTCTGCATGTGGAGGAAAATGGCTTTCTACTCATCTATTGTACTTGTGAACCTTTGTGCTTCTTTTTTTGTTTCGTTCCTCTTCTCTCATCTCTTTCATCCCTCTCCTCTCCTTTGTGATGGAAGGAAAAAAAAAAAGGAAATGGCAGACTTTCAGGTGACCTGCTACTCATGACATGACATTGGTTACCATGGTGACTGCCCATTAATAGCCAATGGGCAGTGACATGTCCACAGGACACGGTTGTGGCTCACGCAGCGAAGTGTATACTGCATGCGTGTACCTGAAAGTGTGTCTGTCTATGCATGTGGGTGGTAGATTGAATGTATAATCTACGCTTTAAAAAAAAATTTGTGAAAGCTAGCGTGTGTGTGTGCGCACGTGTGTATGAATGAAGCTCCAAAACAAGGCTGCTTGTGTGTGTGTGTAAGGTACAGTATGTGTACCAAAGAAATCATCTCTGCTCAAACTGTTTATTTGAACACACCAGGAGGGGGTGTTAGGTCCGCAGCCAAACTGTGTGAGAAAGCTTATAATGCCAGATGGCATGTCCAAATGTGCCGATTCGCCCTTTACGATGTGCCGACGACGCTCGAGTTATACCAAGTATGATTACACAGTCACAATACAACACATTTAAACATTTTATATCTCGAAGAAAAGCCCACTCACACATGCTTTTAAGCCCAAATGAGTCATATCACTTCTTTGACAACAACCATCAACTCACTGATAACAAACAAAAACCACGCATGGATTGTTGACCAATGACTATTAGTGTGAAGTGTTAGTGTGTTTTTGTGCGTGTTGATTCTAGCCCTGTGAGCCGATTGGCTGCTCATACCTTGATGCGTCTTTGGGCTCTGTTCACATAGTTACTGTATCTATGGCTGTGTCTCTGCTTATCTCACCAACCACACCCACTCACATTCCCTTTGCTTGTGTTTGCTTTCACCACATTGTCATCTCACTTAGAAAGCTCAACCCTGTAACTCCACTTCTAGAATTTAATTTTTCTGTTATTAATCTCAGTCAGTTTAGCATTTGTGTGTATGCGAGCTTTGAGGAACAGGCTCTGGTGCTCAGGTGCACGTTTCCTCTCCATCCCTTGGTTTCCCACCCTTTCTTTTCTCCTTACTGTGATCTCTGCACACTGGAGCAGAAGTAAGTGTTTTTCACTGAATGGGTCAGAGGGGGTCTGTGCAGGCGGAGGAAGTGGTGGTTTGGAGTGTGTGGGGATGCAATGTGAGAGAGGAGAGGGACCACAGATACAATCTTATTCCTCCAACACTTAAGGGCTTCTCCAACTCCTTCGGCCCTTGCTTCCTCTCTCCCTTCTATGTGCTTTGTGTGTTTCTGTACATTATTGTCCACGTGTCCTGTGCAAATGAATGTTATCCTGCCTATGTGTGTTTCTGATGATTATGTGCGCACGTGTGCGTATCTGGGCCCGTGTACTGCACAAACTGTGTCTTCTGTGGAGCACAAGACTGCAAGTGATCATGAAGGCTAACTTTTGACTTTAATCTCTCCTGAAATCCTCTTCTTCTCTCCCTGGTCACTCTTGTTTTCATTGTCTTGTTGCTTTTCCTCCAGGTCCCATTATCACAAAACCGCAGAAGCTTCACAGCAGTGATTCTAGGGAAGTGACACTTCTCCAAAGTGGGACAAAGTTTAGCAGAAGTCACAGATGGGCTTGATTATAGTGCTCCATTTTGTAGTGATTGTGTTTTTATAGCTCTGTGAATTTTCACTTTGAATCCAATTTGAATCACATTATGTAAAGTTCCCCTGGAGACAACTCACCAGCACTGGCACTTTAAAAAACAAATGCTAATCTTAAACAATCATGAGCATGAACAAAATAAAAATTTGTGGATGTCTTGATTTGTTGAGGATATTTTTTATTAACCATAAGATGTTCATAAATTAAAGTACGCCTCTAGCTTTCAAAGTTTTATGTCATTTGCACATACTTTTCTCACTTTGATTCCCAGTCTAGACATTTTTACTGAAGCATGACTAAAGCACTATCCACTTCTGATAAAAATATATGCTTTAAACTAAAATTCTCTGTTCAGTGACACATGGTGTAAAAAGGTGGATGTCTGGATTACATGGATATTTGTGCAAGCACAAGGTGAGCTTAGAATTCAGTAGAGGTATTGATGAGCTAGGGCTGATCATTAAATTAAATGCTTATAATCAGAAGACTGATTGAATTTGTCAAGCTTTTACTTTCAAGCTTGACCTGCAGATAGTAGTAACTGGCTCCAAGTGTGCATGTTTGGGCGTGTGAATTTTGATCTTGTTGCTGAAATCAAATCCAGATAGTGAGACGATACCCGTGTTTGTAGAGCTGGCCATGGCTGTAGGTAGGTTGGGTGTCTCCCCCAGCACCAGGCGGACTCTCTTGGCGTGGGTTTTGCCTTGGTAGTGGGACTGGGCCACAATGGCAGAGGTGAAGAACATGTTACACAAGGTACAGCACTTGTTCCTATCCACCTCTGTCTCTGCACAGTCCTACAGGAGGAGAGGAAGGAGAGATGGCATAAGGAAGTGGTGGAAGGAGAGATGAGAGGTGTTATGAGAGGAGAATGAATCACAGGGGAGGAGAGGGTAAGAGAGGTGAAAAGGAAAATCAATTGATGGAGGTGTGGAAAGGAATTATGTTAAAAGAGAGGCAGGGCAAAATGAAGGTGAGAATAGGAAAGAGAGGCAGGAGAGATGAGAAATGGAAAGATGTACACTTTACACTGACCTCATTTGATTTTGTCTTTTCTCTCACATGTGCGTGCACACACACACACACACACACACACACAGGCAGAAAACTGATAAAATATTCATCTGTCTCTCTGCTGAGACTGTGGCATGGTCCTTTCACTACTGCTGGTTCATCACCAATGATGAGGGGGAGTTGCTCCCCATGGGAGAGGAAACGAAAGGAAAAAGAACCACCACCTGACTGACACAAATATACAAACACAACTATTTGTACAGCTATTTTTGTGAGGGTATTCATTGTATTCCCTATAGCCTCTTACCCTAACTTAAGTCATCACAACTAAATGCTTAAACCCTACCCTTATTCTAACCTAATCCTAATCATGACCTTAACACTAAAGCCAAGTCTTAACCCCCAAACAACACTTTGAAGGTGTGTGACAAAGTCCAAAATCTCCTCCCTTTCCCAAGATGTCTCTCACTCCAATAGGGAAACTCAAAGTGGTCCTTATAATGTAAAGTCATACAAGTACACACACACACGCACGCGCGCAAGTACTCACAATTTCTCTCTCTCTCTCTCTCTCTCTCTCTCTCTCTCTCACACACACACACACACACACACACACACAAAGGCATTAAAGACACAAAAAGCTGTAGACTCCATAGAGACTCTTGGACGACAAAATATTTGGTTGAGAAAAACCCTGAACTATGAACCAGGGGAATATCAGAGAAAGATCTGCATACAGAATATCAGTCCAGTCAAAGTCCATTTGCCAACAGATTTCCATAAATGGATCTTTAAAAGACTTCCATGACAGATGGTCTAGTGTATCTTCGCTCATGGCTCCCCAGAGAGCCCTCTTTGTTCCTCAGAGCAGAAAAAGGACCTTTGGGATGGCCTTCAAGATGAAGGACCTGAACAACTTCCAGCTTGAGCGGGGATCAAGGCGAGTGGAGTGTACCCCTTGAGAGGCCTGCACAAAGTCGTGACCTCAACCTCATCCAATGCCTTTGGGATAAATTGAGATCGACTATAACCCAAGCCTTCATCAGTTCCTGACCTCACTAATGTTGTTGAGGGTGAATGGGATTCGCATCATTGCAGCAAGATTCAAAAGTTTTGTGGAGAGCCTTGATAGAGGAGTGGAGCCTATTTAAACAACATGATGTCCACGGCTGGGGAGCTCTTACTATAAACGTTCACATCTGGCTGTTCAACAGCCCACATAGTTAAATATACAGTAAATTAAAATGGGGACAGCATAAAAAAAATCTAACATGGTTCAATGTCTTCAAAAACTATCAATATTTCACACTTTCAGTGTAACCTTTTAAATGTCCCCCCAGTTTCTTTCTTCTCACTACTCAAACCGACTCTGACTCATCTTTTATTCTCTTCTGAACTTGCACGTCTCTTCTTTGCCTTTCTTTCTTTCTTACCAGTGTGTGTCCAGTTGTGTTGGAAGAGTAAGACCTCAGTCTTGACAAGAGAGAGGGCAATAATAGAAAAGTGTCTGCACCACCACATCTTGTGTGTCTGTGGATGTGTGTGTGTTTTCAGTGTATCCTGTGTCAGGTCTGGTTAACATCAGGGGCAGTGGATGTGGGAACTAAGGACACTTTTACCTTCCAGGCTTAGTTTTGTCTGTCAGCTGTCCCACCTCTTTCTTTTTCTTCTTCTCTTGCTCACTCTTCTTCCTCTTTTGCTTTTTGTCTTCTTGCCCTGCCTTCACTCCCAGCATCTCTCTCTCCTGCCCTGCATCCTCCCACCCACTGCGGGCACCAGTCTCAGTGACTCTGTGTCGTGGGATGAAGATTTATCTGTATTGGCAGGCTCTCACCACCCCATCTCCTCCTCCCCCTCTCTCACCTCACCTCCTCTGCTCCCCTGTGTCTGTCCATGCTGTGATCATGTTAAAGGCTTGCTAGGAACTGTACCAGCCCTCCCTCCTCCACCAGTTTCTTTTTCTCTGCATTGTGTCATGCTGCCAGCTGAAGTGTGTGCATACTGTCCATAAGTACAAGTCTTACTTCTCCTCTCTCCAGGAAGAAAGTTTTCCCCCTCCTTCCCTCCATCCCCTCCTCTTTGCCTACATTTCACCCACTCCCTCATAACCATCTCTCCTCATTCTGTTCCATCTTCTCTCTGTTCTTTCACCATTCATTCTAATGTTCTTTCCCTCCACTCCCCTCCCCTCCTCGCCTACGTTGTCTATTTCTTAACTTCCATGGGCAACGCTGATCTTGTTTTACCCAAATCTTGTTGTACCAGAATGAGGAAAATCAACTGCAGTGAGCCAGTGTCCCACACTGCGCTTTTTAAACTGAGGACAGAAAGGCTGAGCTGATTCTCTGTGGCAACCTGCCGTGGTATCACCTGTCAAAACGCTGATAAAAAAGCCAAGATGCAGCCGACAGAGATGAGACTGAAACACAAATAAAGCATCTACTTGAAAGAAGACAACAGATGCCACACTAGGGATTTAGAAACGGTGGGGAAAACTTATAAACAATCTCAAGTGTGTGTGGGTGACTGACATCTGAATAACTGTCAGCTCATTACAGCTGCCACTCTACAGAACCACTTTAAACAATAATCAGCATCTCTGACTCACTCTTTTCCTCCGTCCTCTGTCTCTGCTGAAAGTCATCAACATTTCTGTTTCTTCATTTTTGATTTCTAGACTTTCTCTCCTCACTAATTTCATACCCTGTGTGTTTCATTCCTTAGTGCCTCTACCTGTCGCACCTTAAACATCTGAGACCAATTTGCATATGACCTAATTGTCGTGTGTGTTTCTGTCTGTGTGCACACATGCTGCATGTGTGCCTGTTTATCCTCTGCCTGACAGTTATATCTGTATCATAGAAGATTTCGTGTTTGGGTGGCTTCACCCTGCTCATGCATCTAACAATAGACTCTTAATTAGCTGTGTTTATCTTCCTCTCCTTCTGTTTCACTTTCTCCTTACTTCTCCCACTGTTCTGTGTCGAGGCGCTGTGGGAAACATTGCCAAATATACACATAGAGCAGTGCGAGGAAACAGACACTCATTTGGAGCTTCAAGAAGCACTGAAAGTGTAAATTAAAAGACGCGACAGAGCAAATAACAGCACTGGGGGGAGAATAAAAGGTGAGGAAAAATTGCATTTTGTTATATCTTGCCCTTTGCTCAGGTAGAAAACTGCAGAAAGTGCAGTGTGGAGAACAATCCCATGTGCTTTCATCTAGAGTCACCTTTATGACCTACTTTCTTTATGTTTACTTTGTGGCAAATACTTAAACCTATACACAAAAACACAAAGCATGGCATTTCATTCACTCTGTAATCTATCTTATTTATTATTTGAAAAGCTATTCTTCATTTATGTTGAACTGGATGGTTGTTTGTGAACAAATTTATCATTTTACAAGCTTGTGCTAACTTAGCATTTAGAAATAACTGGAAATGTACCATTTGATCACTGTCTAATTTTACTTATAATTGTTACCATATTATATTGTTCCATCCAAGAAACTTCTTAGGATGCTATTTAGAAATAAACAGGAATTTACAAATCTGTAAAATAAGGCATTACCCTTTGCTGTTCCCACTGGACTGCACCATGTCAATCAGTGTGAGAACACAGATGTGCTAAAGAAAAAGGATCAAGAAGAAAGGGTGTGCTAAACCTCCCCTGGGAGAAAACAAAAATGGAACAAGTTGAAGATGTTTCTACCAAACTGAATGGTGAGAATCTCTGGAGAGCTGTTCATCTTCCATCTGGTTCCCAGTATTGTCAGATAAACCGTGTCACATCTCTGTGTGAAAGGTGAACAAAGTGCTAGCTGCGATGCTCACAGGTCACAGTACGGCAGATGAGGTGAGTGTCTTTGTGTGTGCACGCCCCTGGTCTGTTTGTGTGTGTATTCAGTATGAGGCGAAAGCTGAGGGGGGCTGAGTCATGTCTTATTCACTTAGGGAGACAGATGGAGACGCAGGTGTGTGCATTTCTACAATATATGGGATTGTGTTTGTAAACCCATGCGACATTTCATAAGTGAGCCTATTTCAGGAGGGTCTGCAGTGTGCGACGTGTGTGTCAGCTTCTCATGTTATTGGGCAGCTTCTGTTAAACACAACAGCAGGTGCCCGTGTGACTGATTCAGGTCTGCTTGTTTTATTTGCCTTTTTCAGTTGGCATAGCTTTATCGTGGCAAATTCTAACTGAAGGTCATTTTTACAGTTTAAAAATACTGCATTTTCAGATTTCTATTTTATTTAATTTTAATTTTTTACTTAAAAAGACTAGACCAAGGTGTCACATATCAATAAAGAGTGGTAATCCATCAGCACATATGGTGTAAAGCAGCAACACAGTACTGCTCTGTGCTTATTACTGGACTGCAATGTGACCAGATCCTTCAATGTTAAAACTGTTCACTCTAGAACAGGGCCCCAGAAATACACCACTCACACTCACACACACACATTTGTAGTGCACTGACCTCCCTGCATTAGCCAGAAATAAAGCTACTTGGTGGTGTCTGTGTCCACTAAATTTTAAACAACACAGTTAAAGCATAAGCTTTCATGAGGGAATTACTACACACAACCAAACAAACAAACAACATTCCAGTGAGTTTTGGTTACGGTGCCAAGCTCAGCCAGGGCAAAAGGCTTCAAGTTATGTCACACGGACTCACACATTTCAGCAAGCATATGAAGGTCCTCTTCCCCAAACATTCTCACACTTACTACAGTTTGATGACACGTCAAAACCAGTCAGTGTTTGAGTCATTAAGTTCATTAATGTATCTTAAAAGTTAGAAATATTAACTTGAGGTGAGAAAATCTAATTAATGTACTGTATACTGTGCAACACAAACACACACACACACACACACACACACACACTCGAGAGCATACTGGGTTATCTGGCCTCAGTCTTTTGGAAGGTGGTCCTCCGTCTTCAGGGTGAAGCATGTAGAACAAACGTACCTTGTTGGCATGTTTCTTACTCTGAGAGAGAGAGACAGACAGAGAGAGAGAGAGTAACAGTGTCAGCCAGTGAACTAAGCTTGATTTTGTCAAGGGGGGGAATCAGTGGGTCTGTCACTGCACATTGCCAGCTCTCTCTGAGCTTTTATCTCTTTTCCGTCTGATGAGACCGGCACACATTTTCCCCTTGCTAGGTGACTAATAGACCAGGCCAGGCTCAGCTCTCTGGAAGCCCCGAGTAAGATGATGGGTAGGGGAGTACTTCACAGCTCACACTGGCACCATACTCTATTAGGAAGGGAGGGGGAGAATAATTTGGATGACTCAAATTAGGGATCCCAATCAATTGTTAATTAGATTAATAATTTAATTAAATATATAATAACCAACAATGCATATAAGAGAATGTATTTAGCACCGAGTTCTGCCACTAGATGGTGCCTGGCTGTTTACTGGATGGAGTTACACATTTCCTGAGCGGCCATAAGGGCTGTCGTCATCATAAAACTAATTTTCTGTGCTCACTGTGGCAGCTGTGCTGATAAACACTGATGTACAGTATAAAGTTGTGCACTTCCAGGAGTTGGTGTCTGGCACCTGTGTGGTTTAGCTACAGCAGCTGCTCGGTTAACGCAGGCTGGCAGTTGCAGTGCTAATGTTTGGGATGAGCAGCGCTCCAATTAAACACGATTCCTACATAATTAGCACAAACATGAAGAACTGTATCTGCAGCACCCCCTACTCTGGAGTATACATACTGTAGATGTTGAAAGATTTCTCTGACTGATGTTTACGTGACAGTATTTGTGCATCCCCAGGACATCTGTTCTAGCTGAGTAGGGTCACTCCAACCTTGTAAATAAGGTATGCATATCATATTTGTACAACCAGTGAAACTGAGGTTTGCTATGGGGAGGCTGATATATCCTGTTTTATGTTTATATGAAAATGTTACAGGTTATTCATGAAAGGCTTCAGCCCTTATGATAATGGAAATGTGGCTCAGATTCAGACTGATCTAATGTCTGCTCTCAATAGTGCAGCATTGTTGGCTATGTTTAATGCTTTGCATTTTGTCTGGCCAATCGCTGGAAGTGAGAGCTTTACTATTTGAAAACACACTTTATATTGTTTAATTTAGAATTCAATTAACTTGGTGCTTACTTAATCTGTTCTTTAAACACATTCATTTACTCAGATTTTGCTGTGAACATAGATCATTGAGCGGTAAAAAATTAGCAAAACAAATAACAGAATAAGGGATAAATTAATATACAAGCTGCTGTAATATCAAAAGCTTCTGGTGAAATATGGTTCAAGAGTTTCGTACAGGTTAATCATTTGTTATTTTATTTTCTACCCACCTATCTCTGTGGCTTTTACTTATTTTTTGGACTGCCTCTGTTACTGGCCTTTACACTATAAAAACTACAAGATAGAATTAGCAGAAATATACAGTACTGTTTATATGAAAGGACAATGAGATATTCTTGAAGCTTCTAATTGTCACTGGACACACTGCAGGGAAAAGATTAGACGTGTGTGTGTGTGTGTGTGTGTGTGTGTGTGTGTGTGTGTGTTCAGATAGCTCGGTGTGTTTGTGTGCAGCAAGGTTGACATATTGCTCCATACATATTTTATTGGTATGCTCTGACCAACCTAGGCACTATATGACATCTAGTATTATCTATATATTCTACTGCTGGTGCAATTTTCCAGAAGCGAGTGCTGACACTGTCATAGACATTCTAACTATAGTGCCACATTTACACATTACTGTACCACAGAGTGCAGGGGCATGAGTCGGGCTTGTCATTATAGAAGGAAAGAAGCACAAAAAAAACAATAAAATAAAAATAAAATAAAATAAAAACCAAGCCTTGGATGGATAAGAGATGGACATGATTAAATTACAATGAGAACATTTGTCAAATCTCTTAAGATGGTTTCATTCAGAACAATAATTCCCACTGAAGGAATCACTTTACTGCTCAATCCATGTGATTTGTGGAATTAACAGTTGGCACGTGAAAATGTAATTGTATGTTTTGATTGTATATCATGACTGAACAGCACACAAAGAAAGAAACAGGAGACTCTGACAAGACATTGTGCTTCACGCTTCAATGCTTAGACTGGGTCCTATAGCGCAGCACAAGAAAACCCTCTGCATCGTCACTACTTACTACATTACAATAACAGACAGCGGTAAATGACGTTGCTATGCATTGACTCTCTAAGGGGCAGGAGTGTAAACAAACTATTTTGTTGTACTAGTTATCTGACTGTTTAATAATCTGGGTGGGTGCGGAAGTAGAACGAATGAGAGGCCCTGAAGACAGTGCACCTTTTTTCTAGCTTGTAGACCATATACGGTATATGTATGTATACCATCAATTTGTAAGTATTCGTTTAAGGACAGATGTTAGCTAAATAGCTGTTATGGCTACCTGCTATTTGTTGTAACTAAACTGCTGAAGCGCTCAAGATACAAGTCTGGCATTTTTGTCAGTTAGCAAAAAGCTTCAGGCGCATTATTGCCACTTTCTGGATTGGAGCATGGTTTACCATAATTTACATGTAGCCCTCAGTAATGATAATAATAATAATAATAATAATAAGTAGTAGTAGTACGGTCTAGGCCTTACTTTGAAAAGTGCCCTGGGATGACTTTTGTTGTGACTTGGCACTACACAAATAAAACTGAAGTGAAGGTGAATGCAGCCCAAAACAGCAAAGCTCATGAGCAGGCCAACTGAGATATATACTGTTTATGATAAATGTAAACAAAAGTGTATTAAATCTCATCTGGGGCTCCAAAAGATTCAATGAAAGGGCATCCCCTGCCCTTTTAAACTCTGGACTCCTCAATAATTCATCCCATAACAACACTTTTAGGCTGCTGGTATCTCCATGTTGAAAACAGTCAACACAAAATATTTCTTTCTACCGACCTCAACAGGGACCTTTCTTAAAGGGTGACACTGACGACATGCACTGGCTCAGCTTGCCCATTTGTCTGCACAACCTAAGGTTGTAGATTTTTCTAGGACTTGGGTTGAAAGCCTGATTACCATCAAGTGAATGTGGCTGGTACACATGCATGCGGACTCAAACACACCGTGTCATCGTTGCTAAAGTCTTTCCAGATAAGTGCCTTGTCCTCATTAGTCTGCCTGTTTAATCCAAATCGTCTTGTAATTAAGGACAAACTTAATGCAGTACATGCATACATGTAAATGCTACAGCATGTACACACACACAATCTTTGATCTTTGTTTTAATGTACTGTAGTCTACCTCCCAACAGACTCACTAAGCGTACTGTAATTTAATGAGTGACCATTAAATTATCAGTCCTGTGCATTATCTAACTAAGATATGTACCCTGTGTGCGTGTGCTAGTGACTACCAAGCTGCATTAAGTCTACGTACTGTATAACGGATGAACACTGTCTTAAACAGCGCAAGCACATATTGGTCCAAATAAGGCTGATGCAAAGTGTACAATGCAGAAATGTGACTGTCAAAGCTGTAAATCATAGTATTATTATTATTATTATTATTGTTTGTTTTTGATGAACATTCCTTTATGTGTTCTTTTACTCACCTTGTGTATGTTTAGTGATGCCAAAAAGAGAAAGCTGAGACACATCCTCCAAATCGAGCAGAGATGGACTCACCTCATAGTGAGCGGTGCGCTGGGACTCGGAGATGAGCTGGGCATTGCAGATGTTACAATAGCTCTCTGTGAACAAGCCTCCATCCACGACACCCGCAGACTTCATCTTCATCTGAGACTACACAAAACACACACACACACACACAGACAGACATACGCAAATATCAATATGATTAAAGCCACAACTGAATAAAGTGTCAGTGAAGCCTACAGTGTGTGCCAGAGGTGCACGAGCATGCATGCATCTCAATTTAAAAATGGTTTCCTTCAGAATGACAGATTGGTTGTGACAGTTCAGCCCAAAATACGTCGATCCTCTGTGTCAGAACATTCTCTCATCAATGACTTTGGCTCCAGCCTTGGAAATGATGGCCTGCGGCTCTGACTTAAGTTTCTGCATCTCAGTTCATCTTGGCATTGATTCTACAAGTCTCTGAACGGCACGGTCCAAAGGATATTCTCTCATTAGGTGTTTGATGATGGTGGTGGAGATTCTGTCTAAGATGTCGGTCCAAAGGTGTTCAACTGGGTTGAGATCTGATGACATTCAGTGACCTTTCATGTGTCAAGGTTCAGGCTCAGTCGAGGACCCAAATGCAGACACAAGCAGGTGCTCAGTAACTCAGCATGAATACCAAAAGACACCTACAGAAAACTTACAACTACACAGCACAGCCAGGGAGCACTATGAATTAAATGAGCAAAATGAAACATATGTAACAAGGAAAACAACCAACGGGTACAAACCAAAAACCCAAGGAGGCAGGTAAGTCCAAAATAAACAAAATCCAAAAACAAGGCAAGGGAGAAGAGTCCAAAACTATAAGCGGCAGACAGAACAGGAGATTTGGACACATAACAGGAGAAAACAGGGTGTGGTGAGCAGATGAACCAACAAACAACTGAGAGATGTTAGGAGAGTATAAAGGCTTGAGACATCCAGACAATGAGCACCAGGTGAAAGCAATAAGTGTTAACCAAGGACCAGAGTAAATCTGAGGCAGGTGAGATGGCACAAAACAGGAAACCCTTACAAATAAAAAGTCCCAAACAGGAAACAAGTCTAAAACCCTAACGTTGTGCCCCATGGATGGGGGGACTGTCATCCTGGAAGAACCCCCCCCGATCAGGATAGAAAGTTTAATCCTAGGATAAATGTGACTGCTCACAAAAGCTTTGTATTGATTTGCAGTGATCCTTCCCTCTCAGGAGGCAAGTGGACCCAGACCATACCAGCGTCTGCTTGCGTCGAGGTTTTTCCTTAAACTTGTATCCTATCTGTATATGTACTCATTCATAATTAGTATTTTTCAATGTGTTATTATTATTATTATTTTTTACAGTTGAATGTGTTAGAAGTATGATGTAGTTGGTCAAAGTGGAGTTGAGAGTTTAATTTATAACAATGCATCCTGTTCTGTCACAGTATGTCTGGTAGGAAGTAATAATGCCTAATACCAAACAGTATAACTAAAAGCAGCTTTGTTGGGGATTATAAACTGTTTAAAAGGTCTCCAGCCAAAACATCCTGCTGAGAAACATTGTGTTAAAACCTTGTCAGTGCTGGTATTGTCCAACCAGTAAAACCACAGAGACCTGAGCATCCTACTGGGTGCCGTGACTCTGGGTTCTTAAAAACCTGACAGCAGTGCTTTCTTTTATATTGAGTACTGTAATAGAAAATGGTTTAATGGTGTGCTCTGGGGTCTTGTGTTCAATTTTCTATTCTCTTCATTATGTGCGCCCTGTAGGCACTGTTCTGACGAGACCAGGGTGAGTAACGGTTCTGTAGGGAATGGTTCAGGAACATCAACCATTAACTGGATGAGCGCCTTCTTCCAAAGAAATGACAGGACAGGATGCTTGCAGGGGCAAAAGTGTTTCATAGCCCAAGATACATGGATGCTGCAGAGATCAGCTCCAGTAACTACACTATGAAAGAATAACACCATTTGTCTGGCATGGTAACCCAAGACATGCAACATTAGCAAGAAGATCAGGCAAAATCTACTCCATGTGTCAGCCAGGATATGCAGCGACAACAATTGGTATTCTTCATCTTAAGTCTAGTGTGTAATTACCTTTAGCGAATGCATTTGTTCAATGCTTCAATGGACACGCACACACACCCCTTCACACAGTGCCTGGTAATTAACCTTGTCTGTTTAGTGCACCCTGGACCGTCCTATTAACTACACACTTGCTGCACAGACACTTCCTCTATTATCTAATTGAACCTACAGTATGACCCCGGCACATTTGGTTAGAACAACAGCTTTTATGATCAACTTTGTGGGCAAGTTATACATGTCTGTGAGGTATAATATTGATTCTGAAATGTCACCGATGACAAGCTGGAACCTTGTTTGGAGTTGAGGCATGGACATGTTATTACCTCCACTATGTGATACATGATGGAAGAGATATTTTGTAAACTGACACATTAAATTTGCTGCTCAGTTTGTGTTCTCCCAGAATTTTGTGGCAAAAAAGAAAGACCTTTCACTGTCCGTCTGAATGTCAGGTGGGCATAAGCGAGTCTATCTTTTAATCTTCTGGCTAATTAAAAGGGAGTGTGACTGCAGAAATATCCTTATCACCCTAATATCTCCTTTACCTCTAATTATGACATGCAAGATGGGAGATGCAGACTAATTAACAGAGGCAATCTGTCGGTGGGATTAATGAAATGGCAGGCGAAAAGATGGAGAAGCAGATAGTGGAAAAAACCAGCAGCAGAAGGAAGAAGAAAGTTAAAAAGAGAGTGAGGAGGGATGGGGAGGTCTGCAGTCAGTGCACTGAATGTGATATTTTACATTACATGGGTTCAGCAATCTTAATTGAAAAGTTTGTTCACTCCCACCTAATCAGAAGAACGACTGTTCACTGGACTGTATGTTGTGTTTTACAGTATGAGAATCTAAGTTATTTATCTTGACATCAGTTTTGAAACCAACATGAACTACAGGCATGGGTTAAACATTCTAAACTTACAATAAAATTAGTATTTTATTTTTCACTCAGGTGCATACAGAGACCGCTGCATGCATTCAATTATAACGGAAATGTTTGACAAGTAAAAAAAAGTTGATCTACAATCAAGTCAAAGGTCAAAAACTTAAAGATGCATAAACCTGTTTTTTCCAATCAGCTGCTTGCTATGACTGAACACATACTGTGGATTTGTGAGCATTTATAGCAAAGATTACACAGTTTGTCTAAACTACAATACAACTATATACGAATAATAGGCAACATATCATAAAGACAATTAGTTGGCTTTATAAAAATAAAAACCACTAATGTTTTTTCCACAACTCAATGGTTTATCGTGGCAGTCACTGTAGCGTCACATGCCCCTTTTCAAACCTATTCCCTCCACAATTGTCAGGGGGATTCGTTGCTCATGATCACAAATACCTGACATGTTTCACCGATGCAGGGACAGCGCCGCCATTGGTGTGTGTGTGCGTGAGGTGCCACTGCAGATGGCTGCCTCAGTTTTGAACCCGAGACAAACTTCTCATGTGTTTAACATACTTGGCCAACAAAAGTGATTAAATTACAAATTAATTAAATTCTATGTTAAAGTTCTGAGGCAAATATCTATAAAACAGACAAAATGTCTGACTGTTCAAATTAGGAAAGAAATTAATGTTACACTATTCCTCAACTCAGAAACAGGGCCGCAAAAACTAAATGAGTCCTTGCAAGAACATGAAAGCCCGAGGCATCTGAAGACAGGCAGAACCTTACTGGGATTCTCTTTTAAGATCACATCAAGTATTTAACATGGATGTGAACTCTGGGCCCTCCCTGAAATCACAGCCTCTGGCCCACCATTCATTAAAGAGCTGGCACTGAATTGGATGGGGCTTTTTGTTCTTGTCTAATAAATGCAACCACTTAAACTGTTTTCTGTCACCTGAGCTTAGAATATCAATGAGTCTGTAGTATTATTTGCAACTAGATAGCATGCTGAATGAGAGCCCTATTGTACCAACAGATAGTATAATATAGTGTACTATAATCAGAGTGTATCTAGTGTAATATTTTACCCTGATGGTGGGGGGTTCAGAGACTAATTACAAATTCAATCCAAGTTGTCTTCTGGCCTGAGAACACACACTTACTGGCCAGATGTTTACTTAATATGATCTAAAAGAGAAATATGAGAGAGAGAGAGAGAGACTGAGGGATGAGGAGAAAGGGAAGAGCAGGTTGTTGGGGCAGCAGGGCTTCTTTTAAGTTCCCTCCTTCTTCTCCTCCCTCCTCAATCTTCCCGTTTCTGCTTCACCAGAAGCGTTGGCGCTGTGAACTGGCCTGTCTGTTCATCACTTCCTCGGTGCTCACATTTTAAATAGTTCTCGTCTCGTTTGAAATAAAGTACTTCTCTGATTTCACTGTCACTTTAACTGCATGCAGACAATGAAATACTGACATCAGCCTGTGAGCCAATGACCTGTCTAACGAGTCGCAAGCGGGAATAACAAGAGAAATGGTTGCGGATTTAATAAAGGGGAACCCTATATCGTAAAGGCACTCAACCATGTCACTTTGATGTTCTATATTACATTTTCTTTTCTTGTTTTACTCTTGGTAATGTAATCTTCTCCTCGCCTGCCCCCCTCACATTCGCTTTGAGATTAACAACCCTCCCCTTTTTACAGTAGCAATCGAACGTGCTAGACCGAGAGAATGGAGTCACCATAGTCAAACCAGGAGGATGAATTTTAACAGCCAGACTGTGAACTCAAAGCAAAGAAAATGCCAGGGTCAAGTCACACACTCCTCCCTGAGTCCACTGTACGTGTCTGTGTTTTTCCTAATGTGCCCTAAATTCCATTTTTGGTATTTTCTTTTCAGAGTTATGTATGGAGCATCTAAAACTGAGTCTAAAACAGTCATACAAACTGGCACTATACTCGTTCATCTCTTCTACCCTCTTTCTCTCCCCGTGGTGGAAATATGGCCTTGAGGGCAGGGGTTACTCATGAGAGATGGTAAAAGACAGACTTATCTACTCTGGAGGAAGAAGAACAGAAATGCTACTGGATCATGACTGAAAACAAGTGAAACTCCTCATTCCTCTGAGTGACACCTCCAGATATTTTTCTT